TTGCATACGTCATACTGTTTCATATGCTTTTTTTTTTTTTTTAAATAATGGCCAGTATGCACCAAACACAGTGTTGTCACATGATCATTTTATGTTGAATTTTAATTAAGGGAGCAGCATCTAGTTAACATAGTTAATAACAGTTATTTTGCTTATTTAATTTTGTGTAAAAATGTCTAAGGATTAATTTATACGAAACCAATGTACGTTTTTTCCTTCGCATTTTTCACATACAACATTGTTAAAACGATCCCCATTCGCCATAAAACGTTGTTTTACGCATGCCAGGCCAGTAGTTGGCGATGTCACTTTGTAAAGTAACACTACGCAAACACATAATAAACATGTGCATGATGTCACCGTTTTCACAAATTTGCATTTTTGTAGTTAACACAGAGACTATAAGAGTGTCGTTTAAAAAAAAAACTGTTTTTGCATTTTCAGGCCCCAAAACACTGTTGTTGTGTGAATAAATGGCCAAAACGCATTAAAGGTTCTCTGTCATGTAAACACCCCCAAACAGTCTGGGGTCACTGGCATGAGTTCATGCTGGTTCATTTACCTACAATTACTGGAATATAGACTGTACAATATAGAGCAAAATACTGACATTCTGCTGTGAAAATGCAAGTTATTTTCGCTTTTACTAACTTATGACATCTACCAGCAAAGTGCTGGGTAATGGCTGTGATTTTGTTTGCCAGAGTTTGTTTCTATGACATCTGAAATGCCCTTGTTACACTCCTAGAAATAAAGGTTCCAGAAGGGAGGTTTCACAGTGATGCCATAGAAGAAACCTTTTGGGTTCCCCAAAGAACCTTTCAGTCAACAGGTTTTAAAAGAACCATTCTTTCCTTCTCTGAAGAACATTTTGATCAATAGAAAGGTTACATGGATGGAAAAGTTTCTTCATAGAACCATAGATGCTAGTTAAGAATCTTTTTATTTGTAAGAGTGTATATGCTGTATGTGTATGTATACTGCTGCCTACATAAAGAATTTCCTTTAAGGACAATAAAGTTAAGTAAGTAGAGGTGAATGATGCAGATTACTCAACATGTCATACCCACTTATGCAACTGGACAAGAAACTGTCTTTAATGTATCTTGACTACAGTACAGCTGATTTAGTCCTGATCTTTTAGGGCACTCAGTTTATATTTTCATAGCCTTTATGTTTAATCTGATTCCATTCATACTTGAGTTTCAATGTCGGGTGTGGTGTTAATCAAACCTGGATGGGTTCCGTAAAGAAAGCAGCAATACGATTGGGAACGGTTGTTGTGAACATCTCTTTGAGCTCACGAATATACATGTAGTCACATGATCCTTCAGAAATAATTCTAATATGCTGATTTGGTGCTCAAGAATCATTTATCAATTTTTAAAAACAGTTGTGCTGGTTTTTATTGTTGTGGAACCCGTGTTCTTTTTTCAGGATTATTTGATGAATAGAAAGAACAGCATTTATTTGAAGTAGAAACCATTTGTACCATTATAAGCTTATCTACTCTCACTTTTAATCAATTTGTCCTTGACTCCTTCCTGACATAAAGTTTCAATTTCATTAAAAAAAACAAACAAAAAAAAACTGTTCTCAAATTTTTAAATTATGGTGTATGTCAAAATGTGCATTCCAACTTTCTGATGCCATGGACCCAAAATATGATGTGAGGAGCCCCATTCCCAAAATATAAAGGCATGTAATAATAATATACGGTAACACTTTACTTGAAGGGGTGTGCATAAGACTGACATGACACCTTCATAATCATGACATGACACATGTCATGAATATGAAGGAGGTTTTATGCATGTTTATGACAACTGTCATTAAGTGTCATTCGCTCAGTTATGTCATTTTTAATGCAAATATGACATTATTTGACCTAACCCTACCCCTACCCTTACCCCTAACCATAGCCCATAACAAAGACATCTCAAACAATGTCATCTTTGCATTAAAAATTACATAACTGAGCGAATGACACTTAATGACAGTTGTCATAAACATGCATAAAAACCCTTCATATTCATGACATGTGTCATGTCATGATTATG